TCTACCTGAACATGTCCCCCCCACCCAACCCCACTGGAGAGGGATGGCAGTGGAAGTTACCCACCCATCCCAGCAGTTCTAAAACTATGGAGAGGATCAGGTAGGGGTGGGGCGGGTGAGTGACAGGCAGCTCTGGTCACTGGTGATCCCATCAGGTCAGAGAGCCTGAGGTACTTCTTTGGGTCAAGGCTGTGGGTCAGCTCAAGGTAGGATGGTGGCAAGGGGGCAGTGAGGAAAAATGGCAGGGGGTGTGCCAGTCCATTGGGAAAGGTGCCGTGTCTCACCCCGGCATTGTAGGTGTGCTTGTACATACCCCAGAGGGAAAGTGTGCATGGTGTGCGTACATGGTGTGCATGTGTGGAGGGGAGTGGGATGCAGGTGTTAGGGGCCTGTTGGTGGGTGATTGAGATGGGGTATATGTATGGTGCAGTGGGTGCTTTTTCAGGGACACATGGGTGGAGCATGTGGGGAACAGGAGTGGGTATTTGGGAGCATTTGGGGTGTTTGCCGTGTGAGGGCGTGTGTATGGTGTGCGGGGGTGGAGGGGTGGTAGTTTTGAGCTGAGATTGTCCAGGGGCTGTGGGTCACAGGTGTAGGAACCCCAGATGAGCAGCAGATTGGGGGCTACCCTGGAGTGTTCGGGGCAAGGGTTCCAGGGGCTAAGGACCCGTGCTCATGTCTCAGCTCTAAACCCCAGCCTCAGTGCCTGCATCTGTGAAGTGGGGATAATAAAATCCTGGGAGGCTGTGATGGTTGAAGGCGGTGGCGCAGGTAGAGTTCTTCCAGCGCCTGACCTGGGACAGGGCCTCTGTAGTGGTGGGCAGAGGCCTCTGGAACCCCCTGAGGACCCTCAGTAGCTCCCCGGGGGAGCTCAGACCTTTACCCACTGCTGGGGGAGCCTCCGGCTGGGTGTCGCGGCCGGGACTGGTGGTGGCAGAAAGCAGAAGGTGCGGGGGCCTCTGCAGTGGGCTGTGTGGGGCGTGTGGGGATGTGAGGGTGAGAAAAGATTGTTTACAGGTCGTGAGGTTTTTGTCAGAGTCCGAGGGTGTCGCTGCCATGGGGAATGTGGGCTGTGATATGTGACTCAGGGGGCATGCTTGGACGTGGGGAGGGTTGGTGTGTACCACAACCCGCGGACGTTGTGTGGGGTGCGTCAGGTGAGGAGGGGGTGCAGCTGTGTGAGTGTTCATCTAGAGGCGGTAAACGGGTGAGCCCGCGGCGGTGCGCACCAGGCTGCTGTCTATGAGTTGTGGTGGGCACACAGGTTAGGGTCAGTAAATGTGGATCATGACTGTGTATGCGTCTGTGCTGGTGCGTGTGCGCAGATGTGCTTATCAGGCATGGGAGGGTGTGTGGTTTACCTGGAGGGGGCACAGTCGAGGGTCAGGGGGAGGCCGGCATTTGAGTTCAGTTCTCCTTTAAGGGAATGGCATGGATAATTATGCTAATTATGCATGGAATTATGCAAATAGAGAGGTCGTTTGGGGGTCAGAGGCTGTTTTCACCGTCCTCCTCTGGCATTTGTGACTTCTGAGGCTTTCCCTGCTGCCTCCCAGGCTCAGTTCCCCACCCCCCATCTCTCTCCTGTCTCCTCTCTCCTCTCTGTAGCCCTAGTAGCTGCAGCTTCCAGCACCCCTGTAGTGTTCCTGGGAGGGCCCCGTGAGCCCTGGTCCCCCAGGGAGGGGTACAACTGGCACTTAGTTGACTCGGGGAGGGGGCTGGGCAAGATGGCATCATGCACCCCACCCCCACCCGCCAGGTCTCAGGTGTCCCGGTGTTAAGTTTCCCAGGGTGAGCTCAGGGGTGACTGGGTTGTTGTTGGCCATCACCCCTTCTACCCCATCTGGGGGCTGCTTATTATTTGGAAAGAATGTTCTCTTGGATGTAGGTTTGGAAAATCACTGAGGTGGCCCCTTCCCCAGCTTTGTCTGATGAGCGTGAGGCTAAATTAAGATGTGAGAGAATTCTCTCCCTCAGCCTCCCACTCTTGCCTTCCCTTTCTCTCGCACACCCAGTCCTCCCTCCACTCCCTCCTCCCTGTCCCCCCACACCGCCCCTCTGACCCCCTGGCTTCCCTCTGTCCTTGCATCTCTGTCTCCATCCAGTGTCTCCCCCCACCCCCATCATTCTCTCTGTTCTTCCATGATCTCTCCCTTTCCTGTCCCCCCCCCCCCATCTCTGTGGGGATCTGGAGCTCCTGGTCCTTAGCATGGAGGAGATGGTTGTCATGGTAACGGTTGTCATGCCGATGGCTACTGAGCTAGGGATGAATAGTATCTAGGTGAGAGCTACCTGAGTGGAGGCTGATGGGTTCACAGGAGGTTCCATACTTGTCTCTGAGCCTCAGAGCTGCACAGTGTGTGCCCCTATCTAGTGCCCGCCCCCATGCATGTGCCTGTTTGCACCCAAAGGCACGCCAACACGCGGTGCCTCTCTCTGCCTTTAGGTGAGTGTGTGTCAGGGTGTGTCTGTATGTGTTCTTTCTATGTCTCTGGGTGTGTCATTTCAAGGGCCTGTGTGGCTTTGCAGGGTGTTAGGGGCTGGTGTGTGGTGCTGGTCACTGTGGAATCATGAGGACACCCTGTTTTGGCCCCCACATTTACCCCACTTTGGGGTTCCCCTGGGACCACAGACTTCTTAGAACCCCTCCTCCCAGCTAAAGGGCTTCCAGCCTTCCCTGGGCTGCCTGGAAGGATGGAGAGACAGTGAAGATGGACCTGCTCAGGAGAGGCAGTCTGAGCCCCGTCCCTGCTCAGTCCCCATCCTGCTGCCTGTCTCTGGCTTCAGGCTACTTGCCTAAGAATGGAGCAGAAAGTCTCCAAGGGACCCCAGCTTAGCTGGCCCAGGTGGTAGAGGCTGGTAGTGTGGGAGCTTCTAGCCCCCTCACCTCAGGTCCTGGGGCTTTGTTCTTTTGGGAAGTGGGAGCAGAGATGGGAGCTGGGGAAGGTTGGATGGTAGCTGTTCTGAGCTCCTGAAATGTCTAAAACGGAGGAAGACCCAGCAATTAGTCACAGAGCAATTACTCTAATTGTTCCACTCCATGACTCACTGGTAGCAAGTAAATACTGATTAATTCATTATTTTGAGACTGTGTGTGCGTGTGTGTGGTAACGGGTATGGTGGGGGGGAATCTCCTGGCTCCCTGCCCTGGCCTCCTGCCCTGCGTGGCCTGTGTAGGGCTTTGGAGCAGGTGGTCGAGGCTCGGGGCCGGAAGCCAGGATTGGGATCCTCTCTCTAGCTCCATAGGAACTCCAGAAGGGGGCCTGTCAGGGGTGGGAGTGTGAGAGTCTGAGCAGAGATCACAGTGCCAGTCCAGCCCCTCTCCTGCTCGCACACCTTCTATGGCTCCCCATGTCAGTCAAACAGTAGTGATATTCAGACTCCACCTCACACCTGCTGAACCGCCAAGTTCTGTTTTCACAATATTCTGATGTGCAGTCAGGATAAAACATGACCAGTTTCCAAGATAAAAGTCAGCAGCCGAGCACTGAGAGCCTGTGATGGATGGGGCTTCCCCAAACTCAACTCCAGCCTGTCCCTGCCCCACCCCTGTCCCGGGAATTACATCCCCCAACTCCAAACCTGTTCCCTAACAGATACTTCCTGATACCTACTGTGTGTCTGACGCGGTCCTGCCTCCATCGAGGTGTAGTTTGGTGGGGGTGGGAACAGTCACAGAAGAAGTATATACCCAAAGCCAGCACCGCTCACAAGTAGTGGTAGTTGTGAATTCAGAAGCACAGGGTGCTCTGAAAGATCAAAGCAGGAGGGCTTCTCAGAAGAAGCAACGGGGAGCGGAGTTAGCTGGTGGGAAGTTGGAGAATAAGGGGATGGGAAGGTAGGGTGTTCTCTTGGAGGGAACAGCATGAGTGAAAGAGGCGGGAGAGACCATGTTCCAGGAACAGACAGGGGCCCGGTGGTAGGAATCCAGTGATTGCAGGGGTTCTGAGGGACCCTGGGTGAGGCTGTCAGTCCCAGCTCTGGTGGCACAGGCTGTGCTTCCCCACCTCGGAACTTTTGCTTATCCTGTTATCTCTGCTTGAGATGCCTTTCTCTCTCTATTTCAGTTACTTAAGATCCAAGTGCTAATCCTTTAGATCTGAGCACCAGGTCATCTTTGTCTCTAAGCTCTCAGGGGGCAGGGACTGTGGCTGGGCTCAGTCTGGATCCACGGTCAAAAGTGTGGTTGGGGGTTTTCGCTCCTGTCTTGGATGCCCTTAGTGCTGGCTCTCAGCCCGGGGTTGCAGTGGGGAGGGATGGTCCAGGCCCAGGAGCCACAGCACGTGGCCTTCCCAGGTTCTGATTTTGGGGGGAGTCTTGGGTCTGGAGAGCAGGACCCTGGGAGAAGCCCCTCTCACGCCTGCAGACTCTCAGGAGACCCTTGGCAGAAGTGAAAGTGGCATCCGTGCCCTGAGCTGACTCTCGGCATTGAGATACTTTGGGGGGAGTGTAGAGAGGGGGGCTGACTTTGGTTTGGGGAGGACCCAGGGTTGGAGCCCACTCCCTTCTCTCCCTCCCCCACTTATCCAAGGTACTTCCCTCCCAGAGCCCCAAACCTCCGCAACACCCATGTCTATCCAATGGGACTAATTGCCCTATCTTTGGGATTTTGTGGTGTGAGACTTTGGGTCCCTAGCGGAGTCCGAATCTTATCATTCACGTGCTCTCTGGTGACCTGGGGCAATGGGGCCTCCCTCCTCTCCGCGGTGGAAGGGGTCAGATGGTGCTGGCCACACCGAGGGTGATGCTAACTGGGCTGAGAACCTGCTGCTTTGAGGTGCACTCGGCACATATTAGCGTGCTGCACGCTCACAGCAACCCAACAAGGCAGGAAGTGGTAATCCGGCTTGCCTCGGCTCTCTGTTTACCCCTGTGGAGGCCACATCTGGTGCTGTCCCTCCATTGTCACTTGGCCCATGAGGGTGTCTGTGGTTCCTCTGGGCATGTCCAGGCTGCTGGCCTCAGGTGCTGAGCCCTGTGCCCGACTCTGCCCTCCCCAGGCTCAGCGCTGGCGCAGTGAGAACTTCGAGAGGCCCGTGGACCTCGAGGGCTCTGGGGACGATGACTCCTTCCCCGATGATGAGCTGGATGACCTCTACTCCGGGTCGGGCTCGGGCTGTAAGTACCCCCTTCCCTTTCCCTGCATGTTGTGTCAGCAATGCCAGTCTGCCTCCAGTGCCCCATCCGAGGCTGTGATGGCAAGGAAGAGGAACCCTCGCAGGCTCAGTTAAATGGTGGGGTAGGGGAGGGGGAGGTCAGGCAGGGGGAGCTCATGGACCTCAAGCACAGGAAGGGCAGGCCACTCTTCCTGGGCTGGAACCAGGGCCTTGAGGCCTCAGAGCCTAGCATGCCCAGCTCCCCACTGCTTCTGTCTCTGCATCTCTCTGTGCACTGCTTGGGTCCCCTGCAGACCTCTGGCCTCTGACAGGGAACACAGACGCCCCTTAGTAACGCAGTTTTCAGTACTGTTGTGACTACTTGGAGGAACTCAGTAGCCCCTTTTCAGTTGCAGTGGCCGATCCCCAGCAGAGACCATTTGATTGGCTCAGCTTAGGCCAGGTGGCCCCCTTCTGTCCAATCAGCGGTGGCCAAGGGCAGGGTTAGGGCAGTGAAGGAAAATGGCAGGTGCCTCCTGTGGTGCCTGGGACAACCCAGTTCCGGGGCCCCGTCCAGAAAGGCCAGTAGAGTAGCGTGAGATCAGGGAGGCACACTGCGTTCGAATCCCACTTTCGCTAGTAAATAGCTCTGCCACCTTTGGCCGTTTTCCCTCTTTCGATCTATTTTTATCTGTGAATGGTGATAAATATGCCTTCTCAGAGCCTCTGGAAGGCTTCAGTTTAAGACATCAGGGTCTGGCACAGAGAAGGAGCTCTAAAAATGGTAGTAAAAAGGGGTGCGTGTTGAGATCGGGCCCCCTGAGGGGGCAGGACGAGCCTAACGGATGGTAGGGGGTCTGTGCGCTTTGGAACTGGCCACCTACAGCTCCTTGCCTCTAGTCTTCCCACTTTAGCCCACTCCTGTAAGCCTCTTGTGAGTTAATCTTCATGAAATCCATCCCGATGGGTCACATTTCTACTGCCAAACCTCCTCCCCACCCCTCCTCTGCCTAGTTCAGGCCCCCGGGCCTCTCTCTCTCTCTCTCTCTCTCTCTCTCTCCCTCTCTTTCTCTCTCTCTCTCTGTCCCCTCATTTTCTCCCGAGGCCCTCCCTTCACTTGTCCTGGCTTGGAGTCCGGAGTGCTCAAGCATCCCCTGTGGGAGAGGCTTGTTCTCCCTCTTGCTCTCTGCCTCTGCCTCCGACGGAGCCTTAGTTTACCCACCATGTGTTCATGTAGGTTGTACCCATGTCTGACTCTTCCCAGAATGCCACTCCCCTCTTCCCCTCCTCCCTGTAACCTCCAGCAAGATTTGCAGCCAGTAGGTCCTGAGTTGCCACTGCCTGGATTCAACCTGCTGGAAGCTCCAGGCTGGGTGGGCTGGAATAGTCAGGGAAGACTTCCTGGAAGACGTGGTCCCTTAGAATTTTTGGCTAGGCAGAGAAGAGTTGGGGAACATTCACTGGCTATCAGCCAACTGGTAACCGTTGGCTACATTGTGCCTTCCTCCTTTCCCTCATCTTGTCCTGGGAAAATTATGCAAAGTGTGAGGGTTGGGAGCCCCCCATCTCGATGGCCATTGCTTACCTGGGATCCTCATGCCCCTCAAATCACCCAGCTCCCTAGCTCTCTCCTCTCCCCCTCACCCTCCAGACTTCGAGCAGGAGTCGGGCATCGAGACAGCCATGCGGTTCAGCCCAGATGTGGCCCTGGCAGTGTCCACCACACCCGTGGTGCTGCCCACCATGGACATCCAGCCTGTGGGCACCCCGTTTGAAGAGCTCCCCTCTGAGCGCCCCACCCCAGGGCCAGCCACCAGCCCCCCATTGGTGACAGAGGTCCCAGAAGAGCCCAGCCAGAGAGCCACCACCATCTCCACTCCTACGGCAACCACTGCTGCCACAACCACAGGGACCCCAGCTGTGGCCACAGTGCCCGCCACAGTGGTCACCGCCGCCCCCAGCATCCCTGCAGCACCTCCTTCCACGGCCACCACCTCTATCGTAAGGACCACCGGCATACGGAGGCTTCTGCCTCTTCCACTGACCACAGCAGCCACAGCCCGGGCCACCACCCCAGCGGTACCCTCACCTCCCACCACAGTGGCTGTCTTGGACACAGAGGCCCCAACACCCAGGCTGGTCAACACAGCTACCTCCAGACCAAGGACCCTTCCCAGGCCAGCTACCACCCAGGAGCCTGACATCCCTGAGAAGAGCACCCTGCCCCTGGGGACCACTGCCCCTGGACCCACGGAGGTGGCTCAGGTGAGTGGGTGGGGAGAGGACAGGGAATCAGAGCAGAGGAGGGTGGGTCAGGGCCTGGGGGAGGGAGGACGGAGCTGGGCAGGGGTGAGATCTAGGAGGTTCTGAAGATGAGCCAGACAGGGATGGGGAGGGTAAGATAGGCATGAGGCCGGAGGGCCAAGGCTGGGGGTGAGTTACAGGACGAGGAAAGAGATTGAGATGGATGGGGATGGAAGAGGGACCAGGCCTGGGTCTTTAGATGTTAGGACAAGACATCAATGGGGAAGGAGCTGGGTGAATGGGAGTGTTGATGTGGGGAGGGGCCAGGGGCCTGTGTGTTCTGATTAAAAGCACAAACTCAGGAGCCTTGCAGCCTGGGTTGGAATTCTTCCACTGCCATGTGCCTTCAGGAAGTCACTGATCCTTTTTATACCTTTGTTTCCTTGTCTGTGAAAAGGAGAAAATCATAGAATGCAAATCATAGGGTTGTGAGAATTAAGTTTCCCAACATATCCAAAGTGCTTAGAACGGTGCCTGGCAATACTAAGTAAGCTAAAAGTTTCACTTTTGTTATCGTCATCGTTGTTATTATCCATCTGAGGGGGATTAAGAGTGGGGCTGTGTGAGAGGAATACTGCAGCTTACGTTTGTGGAGTGCTGCCTGGGTGGCAGGCTCAGTGCTGAACACGTTACCTGTGCCATCTCCTCTCCCCCTCACACTCACCCCACGGGGTGGCACTGCCGTCATCCTCCCTTAAAGGTGAGGCCCCTTTCCAAGGCTTCACAGGCAGCAATGGCAGACTGAGGATTTGAACCTGTCAGTCAGCTCCAGAGCTCCTCAGGGGTGTGTGTGTGTGTGTGTGTGTGTGTGTGTGTGTGTGTGTGTGTTCGGGGTATTATGGATGGGGAGGTTGAAGGGAAGAGGATGAAGATGTAAGGAATGCCGGGATGGGTGGGATCAAGGAAGTGGCAGAAGTAGCCTGGTCCCTGCTGGGTGTGTTGGGCAAGGAGGGCGTGTAGGGACATTGGTTGGGGTATTAAAGCCCTTTGCCTCCGTCTCTCGCAGAGGAGGGCCCTCAGGCTATGGAGCTGCCTTCGGGTCATCGTCAGGCCCTCCGACTCCCCAGCCAGCCCCAGCAGGACGCAGGCCCTGCTTTTTGCTCCTCTGAGCAGTCGGGACAACCTGGTGTTTCACAGATGCTTGGCCAGGCAGGCAGGGGAGACAGTGCTAGGGCACTGAGACCAGGTTGCTGGTGCAGCCTCTGCTCACGGCCTTTCCTCGGCCTGGACACCAGACCCACGCTCTCCATGCCCACTTGTGAAGCAGCTACGTCCCTGCCATGATCCCAACTCTGGTCCTGCCTCCATGTGGTGGGAGCCATTGAGATTTGTGGTGCTCTTAGACTGAACTTCAGGCTAAGGGACTCACACCTGCCCTAGGCACATGGATCCAGGATCAGGCCCACGTATTTAAGAGCTGCACCCAGCTGTCCCCAAGCAGCAGTCCCTGATAGGAACCCCCTAAGGATTGTTAGAAAGGCAGCTGGAGAAGGAAGTAATGGAGATGGGGTGGGGACCGGGATGTGTCCAGGGTGAGGATAGAGGCAGTGTAGTATAGTGGTTAGGAACACAGATTCTGGAGTTGGATAGATCTGGATTTTAGTTCTGCTTCTACCACTTACTAGCTGTGTGTCCTTGGGCAGGTCATTTAACCTCTTTGGGCCTATTTCCTGCTCTATAAATTAGGGGTAATGATACCTCCTTTATGAGGATATTGTGAGGATAAAACGCCCATGATGTGCTTAGCACAGGGCCTGGCACATGGCGCATGCTTACCGAGTGTCAGCCCCACCAGGGAAGTGGCGTGGTGGCAGTGGGCTTGTGTGCATGTGTGTATGGCTGCACTGTGGCAGGGGGTGCTGGGGCCTGGCTCCTGGGCTCATGCTACCCTCCCTACAGACCCCAACTCCAGAGTTCTTCCTGACCACGATCCGGGATGAGCCAGAGGTGCCAGTGAGTGGGGGACCCAGTGGGGACTTTGAGCTGCCGGAGGAAGAGACCACACAGCCAGACACAGCCAATGAGGTGGTGGCTGTGGGTGGGGCCGCGGCCAAGCCGTCACCTCCACCTGGGACGCTGCCCAAGGGTGCCCGCCCAGGCCCCGGCCTCCTGGACAATGCCATCGACTCGGGCAGCTCTGCAGCTCAGCTGCCGCAGAAGAGCATCCTGGAGCGGAAGGAAGTGCTCGTAGGTGAGACTTGGGGCCTGGGAGGAGCCCAGAGGGGGCAGCTGGAGGGGCTTCAGTTTGCCCTCTAGGAACCCAGGAGGGAGGGTAGGGTGTGGGTTTCCTAGGAGCCTAGTTTCCTAGGAAGGGAAAGCTGGGGACTCGGGGACCCCAGGATGTACCCTCTGGTTCCTCTTCTGACCTTCCTTATCCCAGGGTCAGACCTCCATCCTACCTCCAGCACTTTCCTCAGCACCTTCCGACCCCTCCTCAGACTCTGCCCTTGACCCCTGCTTCCCTGGACCATGCTGTTCACCCCTCCTGGACTGCAGCCTCTGGATCCTGATCCCTGGTCCCATCCTTGGTTTGATCTGCTCCCACCCTTGATGCCAGCCCCGAGGACCTGCCCTTGGCCTTGTCTCCTGAAGAGTCTCTGGATTCGTGGTCCAAACACTGCTCCCCACTTAGGAGCGTTGTGGCCTCAGCCAGGTGCTTCACCTTTCCAGGCTCCCTTTTCCTCATCTGTGGAATGGGGATAATCATTTTGCACTTAATCAATTCTAAGTGCACATCTATTCATATGTTAACCCTTCTGCAGTTGGGGTGTATCCTGGTTGAGATGGCAGGGATTTTTCCATCCTAAGGGTATATAAAACGCTGGAGCGTCTCCTGATGGACGGCGTCTTACGTTTGATGAGGACCGTAGCACGGCGCCTCCCTCGTAGCACCGTGTGAGGACTCCATGCATTCGTGTGGTGAGAACAGGTGCTTAGAACAGTGCCAGGCTGCAGTGAGGGCTGTAAATGGCCGCCAGTGCTGGTGTTCTAGCATTGACTCCAAACTTCACTGCAGCTCTGGTCTCAGGTTCGAGAGATTCCCAGCCCTCTCCCAACTCTTGCCCCCATCCCCCAGGGCCCTCTGCCCTCTCCTCGGCCTCTAAGCTCGTCCCACCCTGCCTCTGGCTCTTGACCTCTGCCCTCTTCCTCCACAGCTGTGATTGTGGGCGGGGTGGTGGGCGCCCTCTTTGCCGCCTTCCTGGTCACACTGCTCATCTACCGCATGAAGAAGAAGGACGAGGGCAGCTACACGCTGGAGGAGCCCAAACAGGCGAGCGTCACATACCAGAAGCCCGACAAGCAAGAGGAGTTCTACGCCTAGCGGAGCCAGAGTGCCTCCCTGTAGCCTCAGCGCCACCCCTGCGCCCACTCCCTGGCCCAGAGCCACCAGTCCCACCCTGGGACTGGGCCTGGGAGACAGCCTGGCCCCAGTTCATCTCTGCCACCCTCCCAAGGTCTGCCCAGACTGCCAGCTTCACACAGCTCTTCCCCAAGGGACAGGGGGCATTGCCATCTGCTCCAGACTGTGCCCTTATGAGCTCATCACTTGTCCGCCCCCACCAGCCTGGGGCTTTAGGACCTCATGTCTGGTGGACAGGAGGAAGGAAACTCCTGATTGGCTGGTGGAAGAAGGGGTGGGGCTTAAGCCCCAACCTGGCCCCATGGGGCTGACTGAGGTTTCCTTTTGGGGGCAGAGAGGCACTCAGGCTGGTTTCCAGGACAAGCATTTGGCAAACTCAGCCCTTGAAATCATTGAGACACTGCAACCTCTTGCTTCTCTCCCAGGCCCCCCTCCCTGCCTGGGTGAGACAGTACCCCTCACCACCAACCTGTATTGTCCTGGCCTCTCTGGGGTTGTGGGGTCGTTTTCCCTCACCCTTGCCCGTTGCACATGCACCCACAGGCTTCACCTCCTTCCCGGTCTGCCCCTGAGGAATTGGCTTCCCGAGAGTGCTCTGGCAGCCACTGGTGAGGAGGGGCTGGGCTGCTTGGACCTCCTTCCGAGTGGACTCTGCACAGACACTATCTCCCACATGGTCACACGTATTGTCACACACAGACAAAAGCACGCAGTGACAAAATCATATGCCATCTTGACCACCCAGCCAATCCAGACATGTCACAGACACACACGTTCTTCCAAAGAGGTTTATTCATTTCTTACGTGCCCCCAAATGCTTATGACAATGCAAGTCACTAATCATCGTTACCCAGTGGTGACGGTGTGGCCTGCCTCCCTCTCTGCCACACTCCTCCCAACCCCCACCCACCCATACACCTGACACCACACACGTTGCCTCCAGCTTTCAGGCTCACTGGGGAGGGTGCCATTAGGCCAGAACAATCAGCCCATATTGGGTCCCCTGAGGTGCCCTGTCACACTCAGCCCTCACGACACCCTCACCAACCACATTGCCACCGACCCTGGCAAGTCTGATGCAATCCCACGTGGATGCACAGTCTCACCCACACAGCCCCACTCTCACACTTGGACACTTGCCTTTCCTGGAATGAAGTGCGGTGTGGGGGCCATTGCCACAAGCCCCCTCAGGACGTTGCACACCTGCTGAGCCTGGCTTCACCCTGCCTGCTTCCCTCCCCTCTGTAGCCTGCAAAGGGCTTGCTTGGGGGCAAGTCCCCCACTTGCTGAGGAAGGCAGACTGGTTCCCGGAATTCAGCCTTGGGCTGGGGAGGGGGCTTGGGTCCCCCAGGACCGAAGGCCCCGGTTCGGGAGGGAGCATGTGGTGGGGCTCCTGGGCTCCCTACATCCCCCTCCTGCTCTGAGCTGGGGTCTGACTCTGCCTCCCAGGACACAAGTCTCCAAAGTGCCTGCGAGGGTGGGCCCTGCGCCTGGGCCCTCTGCGCCCTCTCCCTTTGGCCTTGCCGGGTCCACCTCAGCCCCACCCCTGGGCCCCTGGGGGCCTCCCGTGGACACCTGCCCATTCATTTGGCCAGACAACCTGGCGGTTGTCCTGGCTGCAGCTGGAAGCAGCCCATCCAGACGCACTGCCCCAGGCCGAGGGCTGCGGGCAGGCTGGAGCGGGGGTGTCACAGGCCCCAGCCCGCCTCCCCCGTCTCTTCTACCCTTGCAGATGGGGCCTCTTGTGTAGATACTTTAAATGTGGGGTCACAAATCTCCTATGGGGGCTGTGCTTGGTGGGGCCTCTTGGAGCCAAGGGATGTGGTCTGAGTTGTGATGGTCTGGGCCTCACACCCCCACCCCTTGCCCACAACCCAGATTCAAGTCAGGAGCCCGGGTTTTATTTCTGTTTCCTTTTCAAGACTCGCTGGCAATAGACTTGTGCAGGGTGAGGGCTGGGGGTGCCTGAGGCGGTGAGGGTGAGGTCCCGGGGAGCTTTGCAGCCTGTCTTTTCCACTGTCCTACTCCCAGGCTGGGGCTCCATCTTTCAGACTCGCAGGCCCCCTTGGCAGGGCCTGGAGGCTGGTGAGGAACCTAGCTGGTCCCACTCTTTGAGGGGCAGGAGTAGGGGGAGGCCTCCTGGGCCCACGATCTGTTGGAGGTGACCTGGCCTCAGTCACCCCTGGAGTGTAAGGGCTGGGGGACAGGAGAGACCAAAGTCCCAGCCTCCCTCTACCCTGCTTCCTGGCGGGCTGCTGTCTTGGGGCAGCAGCTCTGGTGAGAAGGCCTGGGCAGGCCAAGGCTGAGAAGCCAGGGAGCAAGGAGAGGGGATCTGGACCACCCAGGGGAGCTCTGGGATGCTGGGTCTGGGGTAAGAGACCCAGCAGTGGGCACAGCCTCGGCATGGGGCTGGAGCCCGTGGTGGGTGCAGGGTCGAGCACAGGATGGCTGAGCAGGGCGTAGGCTGGCTGGAGTGGGCTCAGAGGGGCTGCATGGGTCCAGCCTGGCCCCAGCAGGCCTAACTCCTCATGCTCTGTGGGCTGGCTTCTAACTTGGGGCCTCCTGGCACCGGCCTTTTCTCTGTGTCCTTAGCATTTGCGAGAAGAGGCCGAGGGCCTCGTTCATGGAGCCCTGGAACCAAGAAAAATGTCCAGGCTTTACCTTCATGAAGTTTCAGACCATCCGATCAGCCCAAATCCATCCCTGCCAGCCCAAGTCCAGCGCAGCGATCCCAGAGTGTGCGGTACAAAGGGCAAGCTGGAGCTCTCCTATGTGCAGCGTGAGTGCAGGCCTCACCCTGCCTGGATACATGGTGTGATGCGTGCAGGCCCTGCCCAAATATGTCCCCAGCCACCCCGGTGCTCCTGGGGAGGGCGTCCTGCAGGGCCCTGGCATTGCCGGGAAACGTGGCCGGTTCCAAAGGAAGAGGGAGCGTGTGTGCTTGACAGCCTCCCTGGGGCCTCAGCTGCCAGAGAGTGCAAGGCGGGCTGGGGCCACCCCTCAGCTGTGACTCCTAGAGCCCAAGCTCTGTCTCCCCAGGGGGCCAGAGGGATGCCTCCCCTGAAGGGTTGGTCCCCTTGTTCGGAAGCAGATGGGTGGTCACCGGGTCTGGGTCGGGCAGGTCAGCCCCTCCTGGGGTTGGCAAAGCCATCTGTCCAGGCTTCCAAGCTGGGGCCTTGGGCACAGGGAGCAGACACACCTCTGCCTCATGGGACAGGAGTGGGCACTGCCTACTTGGCGCTCCTGAATTTCTTCTCCTGACAGCCACCACCCTGGACTTGCTTCCCCAGGCCTCCTGCCTGTAAATAGAAGCCCACAGACTGTGTACAGATTTACAGAGACGCCGAGGCTGGGCCCCAGAGTTGCCATCTAAGGGCTGATGGCCCCAGCATCCCCCGGGTGCCCACCAGGCAACTCAGCGCACCAGCCCCAGCGTGGCGAATGCATGTAAATATTTTTCGTAGGCAGCAGTGTGGCTCCAGAGAGCCCCCTGAAGACAGTGTCCCTCCTGTGCGTCCTTTCTCCTATACAGATCCCTCCAAGAACCCGGCCTGGGGTGGGGGGAGTTTGTCCTTCCCTCCCCCAGGCCTTCCCTGCCCCTTCTCTCCCTCATAACCTGTTTATTAACCATACCTGTCCTGAGTTCATGGCCAAAACTTTAAATATGAAAAAGCGGTGGAAAAAGAAACCAAGGCACCTGCCCCACTGTGGGTGCTCACCTGTCCCAGCCTTGTGAAGGAACTGTGGTTTTTTTGTTTTGTTTTTTTAACACTTCCTGTGCTGTGCCCATTTATAAGAGGAAATAAAATTAAACCGAAATGATGTCCTGTGGTCAGAGTGTGAGATAAGCATGGAGGTTATTTGGGGAGGGGCAGCCCACAGTCCCATTTGGGCCTCAGCCACATCCCCCTTTAAAAGAAATTGAGAAGCAAGCAAAGAAAATTGACCGACAGCCCCTCGTGGGAACCATTATGGTAAAAGCTGCTCTTGGTTGAGAGTGTTCGGGAAGCCATGGAGCTGACTGCGGCGAGGCTGAGTGGGCGCTGCGGTTGGGCAGGGTTAGGCTGTGGTGACACCGGGGGAAGAACTGTGGTTTCCAGCCACAGGAGAGAATCTTGGGACCGCAGGATATTGGAACTGGACTGGCCAAGGTGAGATGTCTTTGGCGTCTAAAGGGCCTGGTTTCAAGCCTAGGTGACGATTCCGAGCTCTGACTCTGAAGAAGCTACTTGGCGTGAGGCTCAGTGTTCTTACCTGAGAAATGAGGTGAGCGTCAACAACATCCCCAAGTACTATGTGAGGAGGAACACTTAGCACGGTCAGCCTCAGCTCACGGGGTCTTGGATGATGGTGTCGGGACAGAACTGAACCCGGGACAGGAGGAGTTCCATGGCCTGGAAGCCCAGATGGCCTCCTGGGATCACAGGGTCATGGAGCTGGGAGGGCCTTAGAGCCAGCCCTGGGCCCCTTGGGGTAGAAATCCCTTCTTCAGTGCCTCTTGGGGGACTTCCCTGCCCCATGCCAGCACACCTCTTATGACAGGGACTTGGTGCATCCTGGGGACCAGGTCACTCTGCCTGTTGAGAAGTCCTTTATTTTTAGCCCAAATCTGCCTCTCTTGTGTTTCCTTTCTCTGGTCCTCATTCTTCTCTGGAGGCACACAGGGCTCTGCCCCCTTGCTGTGGGATAGCTCCAGGCATGAGTGTCATGGTCAAAACCCTTCCTCCTCCAAAGGAAACCTCTCCATGTCCTCTAGAGGTTTATTCATCTTAAAATGTGATACTCACACAGGGTCTTGATGGTTCTGGGGTGGGTTGGAGGCTGAGGCCCCTGGATTTGGTACAAGATCCTACCCGTACTGCCCTCCCTTCACTAAAGTTTCTTGAGTGCCCCCAGGTGCCATCCTGGTGAGCACTTACATCTACTTGGGAGAGAGCTAAAAACCAGGGTCTCATGACTATGTAATGACACTGGTCTGTGGGGGTGTGTTTCCTCAGCCACCACCTCCAACCACCCCCCACCAAGCATTCCCCTCACTGCCAGACGATTCAGGGACAGAGCCCCAAGGCCTGGGTCCTCACTGTGGGACCTCAGACCGTGTGTGCCCTGACGGTCTCAGGCTGCACGGCTATAAAATGGGGTGAAGGGGCCAGCCTCGCCATGTTGAGGTTCTCACAGAGGCCTGGGCCCCAGCTAGAAGCCTGCTATGCCATGAGGGGTGGTTTTGCCACCATTCAAGTCCCAGGTCCTGACATGGTCCCTCCTCCAGGGAGTTTTGGAAGTTGATTCCAAACTCTCTGAGTTCCTATAGCCTGGAGTTATCTTCCCCCCTGCAGGGCCCCCACCACCTTCTCATCTGAATTCAAGTGACCTGCGTCATATTGTGTTCTCAGCCTGGAAGAGTAAAAAAAAGTCTCATCCTGGAGTCGAGCGGACTCAGCTGTGTGCGCTTGGGCACAATGCTCTACCTCTCTGAGCCTGTTTCCTCATGTGCAAATGTGGACAATAAGGTCAATATTTGGAGACTCTTGTGAAGATTAAATGAGATAACATATTGAAAGCAGCTAGCATGGAGCTTGGCCTATGTGGCACCCAGCTGCTGGACTTCAATCCCTCTTTGTACAATCAGTCTTTAACAGGCAAACTTTACTCAAATCCCAACTCCACCACTGACTAGCTATGGGACCTTGGGCGGGTTATTCAGACTCCTAGTGCTCAGTCTCCTCACCTGTAAAATGGGCTAATAGTGCCTGCGTCATGTGCATGGTGTTCAGAACCATGCCTGGCGTACAGCAGGTGCTATATATTATTCGTGTTGTTCTTGTTGTTGCTGTCATTATCTGCAGGGTCCAGCCTGCTGCCTGTTGAATGAGTAAATGACAAGGAATCTGGGTAGAAATCAGAATATCGGTGTCAGCTCTGGAGTGAACTGTGACTTAGGCTGAGGCTTCTCAGAGCTGAGGCTGATGCCTGGAAATCATCCACGTAGGTTGTACAGATGGGCTGGAAGCTGCTGGGAGTTGGAGCATTTCTCTCTGGGCCCCTTGGCCCAGGGATGAGCAACAAACAGAGGGGGAAGGAGGAAGAATAGCTGATTGTTTCCCGAGGCCCATGAGGTTGCAGACTCCTGCCAAGCTGCCCCAAGAACAGAGTGTGCTCAGCTTCCGAGGGCCGCCCACCCTGTCTCTGCTGGCCTGAGGGTGGGCTCGGGACAGACCGAAGGTCCAGGTTGATTACTGCCAGAGCTGCAAGCCTTATCCACACTCAGGGAAGAAGGAGGCTGGGCCAGAGAGCAGACAGCAGAAGGGGTGGGTGAGGCACTGACTGCCAGGCACCGTGAGACGGGCTCGTCTCACATTAGCTCGTTTTAGCCTCGTGCAGGTCTGCCCTCCTGACTGGTTTTTGCAAATGAAGAAAGCAGAGGGCTTCCCTGGTGGCGCAGTGGTTAAGAATCTGCCTGCTAATGCAGGGCACACGGGTTTGAGCCCTGGGCCGGGAAGATCCCACGTGCCGCGGAGCAACGAAGCCCGTGCGCCACAACTACTGAGTCTGCGCTCTAGAACCCAGGAGCCACAACTACTGAAGGCTGTGTGCCTAGAGCCCGTGCTCCTCAACAAGAGAAGCCACTACAATGAGAAGCCCCGCGTACCGCAACGAAGAGTAGCCCCCGCTCTCCGCAACTAGAAAAATCCCGCGTGCAGCAACGAAGACCCGATGCAGCCAAAAAAAAAAAAAAAAAAAAAGCAGAAACCTGAGGCCATAATGCTATTAAAAGGTGTAGTGGGATTCGAGTGTGAGTTTCCACATGGAGTCAATGTTCTTTCAGTTCCACCACCCTTTCCTCCCTCTACTGTTAGTTAGTTGTGTGAGCGTGGGCAGGTTACTAAGCTTCTCTGAACCTCAATTATGTCATCAGAAAAACAGATGCACAGGGTATTGAAAGGCTTGAAAGTTACATTAACACATGACAATCGTGGGTGCCTTCCAATTGTCAGAGCCCATTCACAAGACATTATCTCACTTAATTCTTGGAGAGAATGAGTCCCCTGCTTTATAGATAAAGACACTGACCCTGTGACCAAAATCCACACTGTGGGACACTTGTTTGGGACAAACCACCCAGCTTCTTCAACTAATAAATTGTAAGGAAGGGGAAAGGAAAAGAGATGGAGAGGGATTTTATAGATAAGCTTAAAAGGCATGTTAACCGATCCACGTGGGAACTTGGTTTGAATGCTGATTCAAACAAATTCTAAAAAAGAGAGCTAATTATGGGGCAAGTGGAAATTTGAACATTGAGTGAATATTTGTCATAAAGGAATCATTGTCAGTGTTCTTAGATGTGATAATGGCCCTGTAGTTATGTTTTTGTTTTAAAGAGTCTTTATCTTCATACAGACTGAAATTTTGGCAGATGAAGTGATGGGATGTCTGGGATTGGCTTAAAAAACATGGGGAGGAGTGGGTGGGAGAACAGAGGACATAAGATGGGACTTGAGTTGATAATTATACAAGTTGAGTAGTAGGCACATAGGGGGCTCATTATATTATTCTGTCAGCTCTAAGTTTAACTGTTAAATTCTTCACAATAAAATGTTAACAAAAAGAAATTGATTCCCAGGGAGCATGAGGAATTCCCCTGCCACCGCCCACCCCCGGGAAATGCAGAACTGGGTCTTCTGACCCCAAGCCCAGGCCCCCTGGCCCTCACCCTGTCCCTGCTGTGGACTCCTGGAATGTCATATATTTTCCCCGGCTTGATGTCGTCCACTTCCAGATGGCCAGCACCTTCAGGGGCCCCGCTCCCTTCCCTTTTACGGAAACTGGCTCTCCTGAATAGCTCTGATGAAGAAATTCACATGAAACTGTGATGAGTGACGTGGCTTCAGCTATTGCCTCCTCCAGAGGTACTTGCCTTCTGCCAAAGAGAGTAAGAGAAATGGCCCTTGCAGAGTGGGTGTCACAGCTCACAGAGCACTTTCCAGGGAATCCTTGGCCTTGCTTACTGTCCACATCAGTCCAGGGAGGTGGACTGGTTGGGGAGGATGACTCCTCCCACTTTGAAGGACATTGAACTTGGTCATTTCTCCCCATTTTCATGGCTCTGGCCAAGTCTAGACATTTATTATGTCTCGCTGGAAATACTGAAAGAGAGTGGAGAGATGTGGGTTCTCCACCAGCCTCAGCAAGTTCTTCCTGGATCGTCCTGGAGAAGCCACTTTGCTCCCGAGTCTGGCTTCCTCCTCTGTCTAATGGACACAGTGAAGGCCACTGAAGAATTTGTGGGGATCCAAAGAGCAGGCAGATCTAAGTGTCCAATAATGACAACAACAGAACACGTGGATTGTACTTACCACATGCTGGGCATGATCTAAGCATTTAAAATAACATGTGGCAGGGCTTCCCTGGTGGCACAGTGGTTGAGAGTCCACCTGCCGATGCAGGGGACAAGGGTTCGTGCCCCGATCCAGGAAGATCCCACATGCCGGGGAGCGGCTGAGCCCGTGAGCCATGGCCGCTGAGCCTGCGCATCCGGAGCCTGTGCTCTGCAACGGGAGAGGCCACAGCGGTGAGAGGCCCGCGTACCGCAAAATTAAAATAAAGTAAAATAATGTGTGGCATTTAGAAAAGTGCCTGGCAAGTGCTATATAGGTATTTATTAAATAAAATAATTTTGCATTATTACCATATTTATTGCTATGGACTGAATTGTTTTCCCCTGGCATAATTCATATGTTGAAGCCCCAACCCCCAAGGCGACAGTATTTGGAGATGGGGCCTCTAAGGAAGTAATTAAGATTAAATGAGGTCATAAGAGCAGG